TTTCGAATATGCACTAGACAACCAAAAATAAATGAAACTATGAGACCCATTAATCATTGATAAACAGGACATGTTAGTTCAATGTACAACTCCAAGGTTATATTGATTTGGATTTTCTAATTCGAACGCCTGTAGAAAATTACAGTTAGTAATCAGCCTTAACCTAAGGAATCTGAGTATATATGGTGCCCTTGGAAGTCAGAAAATATTGGGTTGAGGCTTTTGTCATAATCAATGGTTTTGTTTGTAAATACAAGCAGATCTGTTAAAATCATCCTTGCAATTCTACCACTAACTGAGTTATAGTGGAGCTAAGTCATGTCTCAAAGCAGATTCCTGTGATGGTTACTCTTGGTTGATGATCTCCTCAAAAATTCTGCCACTAACTTTGAGAAAGATGAACAATTATCTTCTAGCAATTTCCTTGGAGACTCATACTCTACAACTTTCCCTGCACATATGACAACAATTTTGAAATCTGTCAAATCAAATAAGAATTAATATTTGAGACACATGTAGAATACGTTGACATGGTATAATTCAGGCCTCCAAATTACTAGAAGGTAAACAGTGATTGAGTTTATGTTCTTCTGAAACTAGTCTAAGCATATCAAGGGTTCAGCTTTCATGTGGAGGGAGTGGAGAATTTTCAACCTACCTTCATCGAGAACCAGGACTAAATCATTGTCAATAACAGTGGGTATGCGATGTGCAATAGTTATGACTGTGCATCGACTTGTTTCTTCTCTTATTGTCTCCTGAATCAAATTATCTGTTGCTGTATCAATAGAAGCAGTGGCCTCATCCAATATCAAAATTCTTCTCTTCTTCAGAAGCACTCTAGCTAAGCAAACAAGTTGCCTTTGCCCCACACTCCAGTTTTTTCCGTCTTCTGCTACTGCTCATTTTACCATTAGCAACATATAAGTTTTGGAATTTTCTGAATAAATCTCAGTGGATCTGTGAAAAATGGCATTTTGTTACCTGGTGCATCTAGGAGCCTCTTATCTTGCCTTACTATATCCACTAGGTGACATTTTCTGAGAACCTGGATATGAAGTCAGTTATGTTAGATTTATGTTTTAGATAATATTTTGAAAAAAGAGGCTGTTTTTCTTTTTTCTTTTTTATTCTTACCTCCCAGATTTCTTGATCCGAATGTTCCTGTAAAGGGTCCAGATTGGTCCTCATGGTTCCTTGAAACAGTGTTGGATCTTGTGGAATTATACCCAACCTAGTCCTTAAATCCTGCAAGCCTATTGTAGATATATCTAATCCATCGATAAGAATCCGCCCTCTTGAGGGCTCTACAATCCTAAAGAGAGCTTGAATTAAAGTAGACTTTCCACTTCCTGTTCTTCCCACCACTCCAATTTTCTTCTCTCCTGGAAAGGTGCATGTGATTCCTTTGAGAACCATGGGCAGAGCAGGAGTATACTGGACATGGAGGTCTTCAAATTCAATTTCTCCATTTATTGGCCATTTAGGCTTTGGTCTACAATGTTCAATCACAAGAGGAGCTTCACTGGGTATGTCTGTGAATTGGAGGATTCTCTCCACTGATATCATTTTGTTCTCCACATTGCACATATTCCATATCACCCATGCCTGAAGAACATTTAGGTTCAAACCATAGGTGGCTGCCAGACCTGCCAAGCCTGAGATCAACATGTATAAAAAAACCTGTCAGTTTAAAACTGATATTTTGACATTCAAGCATATAGGTGAGTTTAAGGGAAAGTTCCCCATAAATCTGTTAACTAAGAAGTTGTGTTTCATAATCATTAGAAAGCATCAAATAAAGGGCAAGCTTTAAATATTCTGTTTTAATCCATACTAACGTAGATTTGCAACATGAGCACTTACTAGGGTCAATGGCTGACCTTGGCAAGGTCACTAGGATGACTAGAACAAGGAAAAAGACAAGGTTGAAGAGGAAGTTGATACGAACACAGAGCCATTCCATTGTTCCAGAGTTGTGGAAGGCTATGCGAGAGTAGTCATCAACTAGGCCTAGATTTTTCATCAGGAAGCGATTTTCTTGACTAAAGCAACGAATTGTTGCTGCTCCCATGATGGATTCTGAAGAGTGATGTAGGATTGGAGCCTTCCGGATTCCAACCATCCTGGCTAGTTCTCTAGCTGTGCTAATATAATAAGCCTGCAGAGAAGTTGGAAATGCTATCACCATTAACAACCGAATGAACAGTTATGGATAGTCAATATATTAGTTACCATGGTGTGGTCTATAGCCAAGGGGTTTCACTAAACATCTTTTCCTCTATAAATGCAGTCTGAGAAGAGTCTTTTACTTGCCTGATACCACATGGAAATTCCAATAATGGCAAGAAAGAGCAGAAAGACCGGCCAAGCTACTTGGGAGATAAGGATGATTATGCTGAATAGCTGAATTAGAGCAAATGCTAGTCCAGCTAATCTGTAGGGAATGTCCGTATCTACTGTGCTTTGATCAGTGGAAGACTGTAGCAGACAAGAAAAGGTAAGAAATATTAGTTTCTAGGAATGTATCAGAACAAGTAGAGCAAAACTGAAGCAATTGAGAATATGAAAATAGTAAAAATAGGAAAAGCGAACCGACCCTACTGAGGATTCGGCTTGAAGGTGTGGAGTCAAAGAACGAAATGGGTGCTCGAAAAACTGATTTAATTATGCCAAGGAAAAGACATTGAGCAGTCTCTACTGCAATGGTTGCTAGCAAAACAGCCCTTCCTAGAATGAAGAAGGAACTCCCACCAGATAGCAAAATGAATATCCCTATCAACTTCCTTTCGCTGACTCTGTGTTTCTCCTCTGTTGCCCAAGCAATCCAATAATTGCTACCCATCTGTAGTGCTTGGAAGAGTACTTGGCACAAAAGAACAATTGGAACAAAAGCACCTTTGTAGGCAGAAGTTATGAAAGTTGAGTAAACACTCCATTTCACTCTACCAGTTTCCGTTTTTTCTTCCAGACATCTTTCCATGAATTTGTCATTCATCTCGGGCTCATCACATCTTTCTTCTGTGACTTCTGTGTGGCTTATCCGACAAGGCCTACCTCTCTGAGAATTATCTTCTTGGGGTGGATTCACTTGGTCTAACGACTTCCTTTGGGCATTCATTTGTCTAACAAGTTCACCTCCTGTATCGCAAATTAAATCTTCATATTTTCCAGATTGAACAATTAGTCCATCTTTCATCACCTGAAAGATAAAGGAATTTAGAAGTTGATAAATCAGATGGATAGGAGGACAAGGATGATTGGACATAGACAGGCTAGTGAATTTATGTTTATACGTACAAGAACAATGTCTGCAGCATTTAGAAATTCCAGCTGATGTGTAGCATAAATGACAGTCTTATTAGACAAGAGCTCCAGAAGACATTTCTGCAAAACAAGAGACAACAAGAATTTAGTTCTTTTATTTTTTCCTGAAAAAAAGAAAAGAGAGAGCTAGGGGAAAAAACTCTATTTGCCTTGAATAGATGAGTTCCAGTGTGTGCATCAACTGCGCTGAAAGGGTCATCTAAAATAACTACATCTGAATCACTATAAACTGCTCTTGCTAGTTGAATTCTTTGTTTTTGTCCTCCACTTAAGTTCATTCCCATCTCTCCCAACAAACTCAAATCTCCATCAATCCACGTCTCAATATCCTTATTCAAGGCACATCCTTCCAGAACCTCTTCATAGAAAGCCTTATTCATCTCTTTCCCAAACAATATGTTCTCTCTAATAGTGCCTGTTTGAATCCAAGCACTCTGTGGAACATAAGCCTTTCTTCCATAAACCTTAATTCCTGCACCAGAAATCCTCGGGATCTCACCAAGCATACTACACAACAGACTTGACTTGCCTGAACCAACTGACCCACAAACGGCAACCTTCTGACTTTTCATTATTTTCATCCTCTGCATTATTTTGAGGGTAGGTCTCTTCAAGTTTTCATCACTCATATCCCAAGCGTATTCTCCTGCCTCAATGTCAACAGCAACATCAGATGTTTTTGAGATATGAGAAGGTGTCAACTTTCTTTGATCATCTTCTCCAACATAGTCTTGGATTCGATCAATCGAGACTTTTGTTTGAGCAATCATGGAAATAAGCTCTGGGAGGTTATAGATAGGCTCTTGCAGAATTCGGAATGTTGCAAGAGCTGAGAGAACTGTGCCAGATGTTAGAGGTGTGTTCAAGAAAACACAGACACCAAAAGTGATGACAGATACCAGAGTGGGTGACGCCCAAAAGAGAAATGCAACTGCTGAGCATGAATACAAGTACTTTCTCAGCCAGTTTCTTTCAATTTCTCTTAGCTGGAGAAGCTTGTCCAAGAATGTTGATTCCCAGGAATAAAGCTTGAGAACTCTCATGCATCTCAACATCTCTGCAGTTGCTTTTATTCTCGAGTCCTTAGCTTCCATAATTTTTGAGTGGAGTGTTTCTTGCATATTGGCCAATGGTGTGTTACTAACCATAACCAAAACTGTGGAAAACAGAGCAGCAAGAGATGGAGCTGCACCTAGATTCCTGTAAAGGATTAGCAGGGCTAAGATCACCTGGACTGGTAGCAACCAAATTCCATGAATGTAGGAGCAGAAGTCACCAATTCTCTCGGCATCCACATTGATCAGATTGATGATTTTTCCATTGCTTGGACCAGCAAACTTGATTGAGAGAGACTTTTTGTATATCAGCACAGTGAAAGCAGCTCTCACACGTATACCTATTCTTTGTGCCCCAAAGTACCATTGTCTCTGAGTTAGTGACTCCACTGTCTTTGCTAGTAAGAAGATGAAAGCTAGAATCAGACCATGAAGGTAGCTAGAATGATCACCCTTTTTGGATAAAAAATTCACAAAGTTGGCAATCAGAAAGGGACCTGTATAGGATGCAAATGTATTGATTCCTGCAATAAAAAAAACAAGAAAACAGAGATGAAGAAGATCTATATATGATGCAAATAGGATTTGTTTTGAAGTCAAGGTTAACCGGGAGAGAGGAGGGGTTTATTTGTTATAAGAGTAGAGTAGGGGGGGGGGGGGGGGGGAGATTGTCTCATTTCAAAATACAGTGGGGTATTTCTTACAATTTACAAACTATATGGGGTACAAATAAAATCTTAGTTTCCCTGAAATTTCAAGAAGAAAAAAGTAATATGGACATAGTGATACCTGCAAAGAGTGCATTAATGGCCAAAGGTTTCCACAGAGCATAGATTATTGCAGTTGGCAATGAAGAACCTGCTCCCATCTTCTTCTTCCTAAGCGAATCTTCCAACAATGAGGAAGCATACTTTGCAGTTTCAGTGTAAGGAAGTGAAGGAATATGAGGTAGTTCCAGCTTCTGAATCCGACCCTTTGTAAAAAGAGGATTAAGCCAAGAAAATGTAAGCTTACTCCAAATTCCAGCTTCGCTAAAATCATCATCCACAGAATTTTCTTCCTCGTAATTTTCAAGGAAAGGTTGTTTCAGGAGATCAGATTGTTCTTCACTAGAAAAACTAGTAGCAATAGCATTGATACAGAGCAGTGTCAATAAAGGCAAGGAAACCAAATCAACAATGTTAGACGTCTGTATATTTCTCAAAACGAAGAAGACAGAAATGGATTGAAGAATCCAAGAAAATAACCACCAGAGAAGAAGAAGCAGAGGCCATTTTCTGTGTGATGTATTGTTGTTTGAATAAACAGTAATGGAAGTAACTAAAACCCATGTCACAACTGAGATTCCAGATTTAAAAGTAACAATTCTAAGCTTCCAATATCCAAAAATGGCGAAACCCACATGCAATACACAGATTAAAAAATTACAGACAACCACCATTACTGAACACACACTAACTTTTGGTACTACCACTCTATCCCCCTCCTCTCTCCGGCGCCGGCGTTTCGTTACGTCGGCCAAAACCCAAATCAGTAACGCCACACAGAATGACACATTAACTGCATATAATACGAAATCCCCCCGGTAATCCATAGCTGTGGCGCGAGGTTCACAGGGAAGAAGAAGAAGAACCCAGTTGAGATAAACAGAGGAAGAAGCAGAAAATACAGAGAGAGAATATTTGTATTGAGAGGACGAGAGAGAGAGAAGGAGCAGGGCTTGTTTTCAGAGTGGTGTTGGTTAATTCCCACGTTGTCTGTCTGGCAGCTGCATTTCCAAATTACACTCGAGTTTCTTTTTAATAATTAAAAAAAAAAAACCCCAAAACAAAAACAGGATATATTAATATTATCCAAATTAATTAACAAAATATATAAAATTCTTACTAAAAATATTATTAAGTATTAATTATTTATATGTTTTTTTAAAAATAAATTTCAAAATTTCATTCTATTACCATTTAATGTGTCTTCAAATTATGTCGTCATTGATTCCTTAAGTGACATGAATCCTTTTTATCAACTTAATATAATTTTTGAATGTGAAATCTCTAATTTTGATGTTTGCTATTTATATTTTTTAATTTATTTAGATATTTTTTTCAAAGTTTATCCTAAATTTATTTATTAAAAGACAACACCACTTTTTTTTTTTTTTTAAAGTGAGATATTATAGATAATATTTTATTTAGTTTCCATAAAATTTTAATCATATTATTTGTGTTCTCGTAAAAAAAAAAATCAAAAATTAAATAAGAATTATGATTGAATTTGGTAAAAAATAATTATATTAGTATAGGGATTTATTATTTTTAAATAATTTCATTAATTATTAAATTCTTATATTATTTTATAATAAAATATTTTTACGAGATTAAATAACCATGGAGTTCTGCAGGCATTACAGTGCCGGTTGACTGCTAAATTATATTATTAGATGAATTAATAGAAACAAACATAATGGTGGGCAGTGAGTAATTACCAAAAAAGACAAATTAAATGCACGTGGAATATTTGCCTTAAATCACAACCGTTCGATTATTTACATCCCACATCTGATTTCCTGCACCTTTTTATCCTTATTCTGAGCGCTACCGGTTAAAAAGTTTTGACACGTGCCCGCTTGTTGTTGGCGTGTGCGTACTGGAATTCCAAGTGTGTGGTTCTCGTGGTTAAAATCTCCAATTCTTTATCTCTACACTGACCGACCTCTCTCACTCTTTTACTTTTTAAATTTACTTTTTTTTTTTTTTTACAATTACTTGATATAAAGATTAATTTTTTAGTTTTATTTAAAATTAAATTGAATCATTTTAATCTTTGAGTTAACTACCAGTTCTTAAATGAATTTTAATTACTGATAATTTTTAAAATACATTTTCATATGAAATTCTTTTATTTTTATGAAATTTTTGTTTAGGTAAAAAAATATCTATATTATTTTATATATAACTATGAATTTTTTAAAAACTATATCATATATTTATTTAATAAAAAGGTACAACGCTACCTAAATTTTAATATAAATAAATATTTTAATTATATAACAGCCACAAAAGTAATTGTGGACAGTTCTACAATGTAAATAAATAAAAGAGCAAAATATAATACTCTTATTAAGTCGGACCATCAATACATTTAGATTTTGAGATGTGAATATTATTCGGTATTCTAATAGCATTCGGGAAAAAACATGAACAGTTAAAAGAGAAAACGTTGTTCGTGGGCAATAAACGAGTATTTAGTCCTATTATTTTCGTACTAAAATTATATCTTAATTTTTCTACATTAACTATATAAACTGGATGCAAGTGTGTTTTTTTTTTTTTTTTTTTAAATTTTTCTTAAAAAAATTGTGTTGGATTTAGTAAATAGTTATTCCGTAATAAACAAAAGATACAAATTTTCTACTCTAAACAAATAGATAGATTTATATAAGAAATGGGCTAAAACATTAATAATTAATTTCCAGTTAATGAAAAAGAAAAGAAAAGAAAATTCATTGAACGTAGAGTGGAGTGACGAGCAGCAACCAGGAAGCGAGGAACCCTTTGTACTTCTTTGACTGCTCTCACGATCCCATAATTTCTTTCCTCCTCTTTTTTATTTTGTCAAATTTGGCCTTAAAATATATCATTCCAAGGTGTATAGGTGCATGCATTAAGCAACAGAAACTCTTTTATCCATATGTAGTCGCCATATTAATACACACACACGAAATACCTACTGAGAGATTTATATATTTTTAGTATAGATTCAATTTTATTAAACAAGATTTTCAAATATGTTGATTTTGAATTTTCAAGAACTGAAGAATGTTGACTCACATTCTATCACTTAATTGAAGAATGGGATTTTAATATAATGAAAATAAAGAGCTTAGAGTACATTAATCTTTTTATTTTTGTAGATTAATTAATTTATATGTAACACCCAAATTATTATTTTTTTTTGTTTTATTTTTATTTTTATTTTTTGTATTTGAATTTTTTAGATTTTAATTTAATTTAATTTAATGAAAATAAAAATAATAATAATGATAAAAATTGGGTAAAATTATTATTTGGATTTAATTAAAATTGATTTTGAGAAAAATGAGTGAAAATTTGGATTCTGATAGTGTTTTTGAACAAAAAATTAGAAACTGGGGGGTCAAAACGCAATTTGAAAAAGTTGTGCCACGTCAGCAGCCTTGGGCACACTAGGACACGCCGCGTGGCAAGGAAACGCTGACACGGGACGAGCCACGTGGGCGATCCGCGTGCGCGCGATCGGACGGCCCAGATCCGTTCCCACGTACACGGACGGCCCAGATCAAATGTGCGCACGGACGGTCCAGATTTCACACGTACGGACGGTCCAGATTGCATCGCGATGGACGGTTCAGATTTAATTCTAAATAAATCGCGATCGGACGGTTCATATTTAATTTTGATGGACGGTTGAGATTAAAAGACAAAGAGTATAAATAACCCCACCCACACCTGACCACAAAACCCTAGCCGCCAGTGTCTCGTTGGAGAAGAAGAACCAGACACCGCCACCCGCCGCCGCACCAGAGAATTTTTCGACTGCCAATCGAGGTAAATTTTCTCCCCCTGTCTCGTTTTTCGATACTAAATCCGTCTATGGCCAAACCGGAGCCAAACCACCGGCCAATTGGCCGAAAAACCCTGCTGAAATCCGGTGGCGGCGCCGCGACTTCCCTTTGTTTTTGCCTCCGATGAGGCCCTTCTTGGTCTCCGTTCGATACAATTTTTATACCACCGTGATCACCGTTCTTTTCTCTACAAGTTGACCAGGGCAAAACATCAAAACGCGACTCACACCGGAGAAGCCGCCGCACCCGATAGCACCGCCGCCGGTAAGTCTCAGTTTTTCGTGATTTTTTGGCCCACCGAGGGCTCTAGGGTTGTTTTATTGCAGGGACCAATGCAAGTTTGGCCGAATTCGGCCGAAAACGGCCAATCCGAGGCGGATCGCCGCTACAGACAGTGGCGCCGTCACCGGAGCACGGCGGAGCTGCCGTGTAACGGCCCCGGAAATTCAAAATGAAATGTATATTAAAAATATCAAATGCGGAAGCGAAGTCAAAAATTCGATTAACATCCCTTACACTAAAACCAAAAACGTGCTCACAATATAAAAGATCAAACTACCTAAAGGAGAAACTTGAAAGTAAAAGCTACAGATATGACTATGGAGTCTTTAGGCGTCCCCTCTGTCGTCCTCCTGCGGAACCGGCTCGGGAACAATGTCTTCCTGATCTGAAATGATTAAATAAGGAATGAGCTACACTAGCCCAGTAAAGACATCACGACATCTCACCGTCACGGAGGTAAAGGTGGGTAGAAAACACAAAAAGACCAATGGAGCATAATTTACAACAAATCCTTTTATCAATAATAAAACCTTTACCATTCACTTACCTCGGTGAAATTCATAAAAACAATATACGAAAGCAATAACATCATCATCATCACGAAATCATATATAAACTGTATAACATAATACTTATCAAGGCTTTCGTAATTCAATCGTTACACAACATATTTTCCTCATTTACCAGCCCACTAGTATCCATGGGGATCCATAGGGGTCCCGCTACCCGTTAACCCTTAACACTTGAAATCACATTGCAGGGCCGTCCCCATACCCCGTCCGGTATGGGCGCCAAAACACATAAGATCTCCATACCCCGTCCGGTATGGGAGACCACAATCCCGGTAGGGTTCCCTACGGACCCGGTCCGTCCACCATCTCCCAGGATATCTAGTCAGGCTGACCACATTATACAATTACCCATTTACATAATCTTTCATTCTCTTTTCCCTCAGTCAGCATCATCAATCCACATACAAACAAGTAAAACGGTAATTTATGCCAAACAGACAACATACAGCATCAACATCCCAGTCATTCGATCCATAATCAGTAAAACAGTAAAATATACACACGAAACTATAAAATGAAAACATCAAACCTCATATTGCATTTAAAACTGTAAAACAGGCCAAATAACAGTTAACCGACAAACACACTAGACTCGGGCTCCATTAGCGACCTTAAGCAATTTTCACACATTCGTTGATTCATGAAATACCGTTTTATCATTTATTGAACTTTAATACCGTGATAAGAGATAGGGTGAGGGGTCCTTACACGGTTTCGGGGTCCGAACACGGCTTCACAGTGCGCCTACAGGCTGTCCCTAATTTTCCCTGAATTTTTTTCGGGGAACTGAAATGCACTACTGGTACCTGCACGTGTTCCAAAAAATCCCAAATTAGGCCCAGGACCCCTTTCGGCCAATATCGCAACTCCGGCACGGCGGCTCCGCCGTGCTCCGGCGACGGCGCCGCCGCAAGCGGCGGCGATTCGCCTCGGTTTGGCCGTTTTCGGCCGAATTCGACCACACTTGCATCGACCCTTGCGATTAAACAACTCTAGGGCCCTCGGGGGGCCAAAAAATTACAGAAAACTTAAGCTTACCGGCGGCGGTGCTCTCGGGTGCGACGGCTCTCCGGTGAAGTTCGTGTTTTGGTGATTCGGCTCCGATCAACCTGTAGAGAAAAGAATGGTGATCATGGTGATATAAAAATTGCATTAAACAGAGGCCGGGAAGGGCCTCATCGGAGGCAAAAATCGAGGAGGGGCGCGGCGGCGTCGCTGGGTTTCGGCCGTGTTTTTCGGCCGTTTGGTCAGGATTTTGGCTCCAATTTGGCCATAGGGGAAATCAGCGTGGAAAAACGAGTCGGGGGTATGAATTTTACC